TGTCTCCTGGGATCCTCCAAATAAACCACTTGTACTGAATCCTTATCTCAGGCTCTGCTTCTGGGAAACCAACTGTGATCAACTTGTTTTAGATGAGGACAGGCAACCTCCCTCAGTCCCCAGCAAACTGGAACAGTTAGTCACCCTTGAAGGAACCCAAATCAAGACAGGTGTGGCTTACCAAGTAATACAGATTCCAGAACTGTTAGTTTGAAAGCCAAGTATTATGGGTTCTGAGAACAAAAGAGCAGACACAAGTATAATTTTGTCACGTTGACAGTTTTTTATGAGCTCAAAGCCTACAGGTGAACAGTAGCCACCATGTACAAAGCAGCCATTCCTTTGAGAACAGACACACACACACACATTGGTGGACATTAGATGGCTGGTGTCCAGGACCTCTACAACATTGGCAAAATTGGCTACCTGGCAAGAAGGTGATGCACATTCCAAGAACAAGGAAGTGTCACAGGCACCGTGGGGACATCAGGGGTGAGCAGGCGAAGAGACGGGGCAGCATGTGATAGGCACTTGAGGCTCTGACAGGGACAAGCACCAGCCATGCCACTTGAGCCAAAGTCACCTGGACAAATAGTGAAACTACACCACATGTGTGGCCACAGTCAGCACAGTGAGGTGAGGTGCTTTGCCATGGAAGCGGCTGGAAGCTGGATAACTCACTCCCACTCTGTCAGACAGCCTGGGAGGCCGTGCTGTTGAGGGCTTGTCAACTGGCTGGGACAAGGTGGACACACAAATAGGGCACTCCATAGTAGGGTAGAGGGGCTGAAGGCCTGGCCTGGTGCCACTGCTAAACCCCTGACTTGGGGACAGAGCTCCACGGATCAGATTACCCAGCTGCAAAATGTCATACACGCCCCTGCCCTAGTTATTTTTACACTGGCATTGTGGAATGTGCTGTTACAGCTGAGGATGTGCCCATTAGTTGTGTTGTTGACTTCTTCAGTCCGTGAAAAAAAAAAAAACTCTTCCAAGTGCTATAGCAACGAACGCATGCCCTGCTCCTGGGGTGGGTGGCTGGATCTTCTCTTTCCCTCTGCACTAAGGATGCAGAATGCATTTGTATCTGGGGTCACTCAAAGAGGTGCTGTGTGAAAGGAGAAGCAGCACTTTGAGCCCCAATTGGCAAGTGCTGGAGTGTCACACAGGTTCCAGCCAGGAAGGTGACTGGAGCAGCCTGTACCCAGATGGGGGAATCCCCTTTCTTCCCTCCCTTTTCTTGGGAGTCTCTGCCCACCAAGAGAGGGGGAAACAGTGGCCAAAAGAGGAGGAAACTTGGTCCTTGAATAAGGATAGGGATCAGTGGGGCACAACTAGAAACTCTTACTGACGGGTGAACCAGCTAGAAGGGAGGAGAGGGAACCCTTGCTTTTTTACACATTTGAGGAGTAGATGAAAACCACCTGGAGCTGGTCTTGGAAGCAGCCACTCCATTCATCAGCCTCAGCAAGTGCCAACTCAGGTCAGGGAGGACAGTGGAAGCAACTCATTTTGCCCCCAGGCAGGTTGGCTGGCTGGGAAACGCAGCCACAAGTGTGGTGTGCACCTGCTTTGAGTGTGGGGAGGTCAGCTTTCTTGGGATCTGAAGTTGGTCTTTTCAGCTGAGGGATCTCGGAGACAGACTCTGCATCTGTTGGGGGGTGGGCAGGAGGTAGATCCCTCAGGGCACCCTGTTGCAGGGAGTCCTGGACCTGGACCAGGTAGCACAATTCCATGAGCTACTGTGGCCAGTTGTAGACAGGCCATCAATGAGCATCCAAGAGCTCAGGAGTGGCTGTTAGAGTCAATGGTGCTCAGGTAGTGCTGATCTCAGGCCACACCCACACATGACAGGACCGCGGGGTTGGGACTGTAGCCAGTCAAGACAAACCCACCTGCCAACCAGGGAGTGAGAAAATGGTTCGTGGAAGACTCTTCAAATGTCTGGTGCCATGCTTCAGAGGGATTGGGTAGCACCTCTGGTATATTCTCAGCAGTACCCCATATGCCTGAAAGGTTTTTGGATGCTAGTGCCCAAAGAACCCTGGGGAAAATGCTAGACCAACATTTTCTTACTGAATAAACCAGGAAGAGTTGCATGCTGGTCACCTTCTTGGAGGGCGACAGTACACGTTAACATATTAATATCCTAACCCAGAGGAGTTTCCCCAACATACAGAACAGTTTCTCATGGGTGGCTCATTCACATCTCACCCGCCACATGGTTAGAAATGCTGATCTAGTGTAAGCCCTTCATTTTGCAAAAGATGAGCCAACCTCAGAGGAAGCAAGTGATTTGCCAAAAGTCACACAGCACACTTCTGGTGGGGTTAGGACCAACTGGGGCTCCCCAACTCTTGGGGAGTTTTTTTTGTTTTTTTTTTTTTGGCCACTGAAGGCAGCTTAGAAGCTGGTTGGCTGGTACTGCACACATTTCTTCAGTTAGTGTAGGGTCCCTTCGGATGACTGGGAACACAAGGGCTGGTTTAACAAATAAAGCCAGATTAATCCAAATTCACCTGGATCACAGGAGCAGCATTTTACCCATGAGGACCTTTGCATAACCTTAGCTTGGGTGCAAGTGCTCATTACCTAAGGCTCTTATCTTTTCCTCAAAACTAGTCTATCCCCTGGTCCTCTGCTTGGCAACCTTGATGCCAGGTTTCTCAGGCTGTGAGTCAACTCAGTATCACTGGGGTTCTTTTACAAATATCTCTTGTCCAGATGTGCCCTCCAGCCCCTGGGTTATGAGAAACCAAGGGGGATTTGTTCCTTGGCACTATGGTGCTGGTAGGAGAGTCAGGAGTCGGTGGGGGTTGTGGAGAGCAGCACTTTGTATCAAATTGTTACAGAGCGAAGGGTTTTGGGACAAAGCATCTCATAGTTCTAGTTCTACACCAGGCAGGGGCTGGGTTGTTTTCAGCTCTGGTCATTATCCATACCAAGGCCTGGAGGCCCAGAATCAGGGTGGACATCCCAATCCCACCTGATCATGTTAGAGGAAAGAGCCCCTGCGTGAACACGTGGGTTGTTCAAGGTAATACAGAGCATCAGAGTTGTTCACTAAAAGGGAAACATCTTGGAGACAAGTCTGGGAGTGTTCCCAAACACCCAGAGAGGGGGAGCCACTGCCCAAACCAGTATCAAGGCTGAGACCTGAGTCCAGGTGTTCTGACTTCAAACTCGACAATTTTCCCGTTGGTGGTGGGCCAGAAAGTGGACCATCCATGCCATCCTTGCCTCATTGGGCCTCAAGCAAGACAACCTAAAGTCCTTGTCCCCTTCAGTGGCCCTGATGTTGAACCAATGCCCTAGACCTCATCCTACCCCACACCTGGAGTCACGAGGGCCCAGTGTCAGGAACTGCTGGGCTGGGTCCCTCTCACAGGGTGACCGAAGCACAGCCAGCCAGTGACGCAGCAAAGGGACTTTACCTAAATATTTGAAAGATCTGCTTGGGCGGCAAGGGTCCCCCCTGGGAGATGGCAGATGGACAGGGCAGAGTAGGACAATGGATGAGGGCTGGGCTGGGAGCAGGGCACCACATTCTCTTAGGCCTCCTCTTCTTCCTTCTCACTGCAGGTTCTCTGTTCGAGTCCCTGCCTCCCTTCAGCCACTGCTGCAGACTGGACAAGAATTTCTTGACTCTTCATGAGTCTGGGCCTTGGGCCAGAGTCCTCAAGGTCCCCACTGGTTGGTTTGATCAAGGTTTTCCTGAAGAGGGACACATGTGGGGATCACACCAGGGTCCTGGGAACCATTCTTGGGAGAGGAATTTCATGAGGAGAGGCTAAGGCCTTGGAGAGAGGGGGTTTGGGGAGTGTATAGATTCAGCCTGGGGTCCCAAACTTGTGTGGCTCCTTGGTGAGGTCCAGACCCACCTCCAAGGAAGTCTGTGGAACAGTGGTGATTGGGCAGTTTGATACCAGCCATGAAGGAAACTGAGGCTGGGGCCCACCAATCCACAGGGTTTGTGTGGTGAGCTTGGGGTAGGGAAGTTTCAAGATGCTTTCATTTTAAGAAACAAATTGTGTACCGCCCCTCGCAAGTTACCATTCCCAAATGTACAGCAAGCAGTTTTCTGTTGCAAAGAAGTTCTCTCTTCCCTACAATGTGTGTGTTGGAGAGGGACACCGCTATCCCAGAATGCAATGCACAGAGGTGCCTCTCTAGCCCTTTACCATAGTGGGGAGAGTTGGCTTTATCCAACTTCTGAAAGTGTGTAAATTATTGCAGGCGTCATCTGGTTTCTCCACTGACTCCTGTGGGCATGTCAGTTTTCTGGATTATTCTGCACAGACTGCAGCTTCAGTCTAATACTTGGGCTCACAGGGTACCTATCTTCCCTGCTCCTGCCCTCCACCTCGTCTCAGGCCACAAATGCTCTGCAAACCAGTACTAAAATGTACTAAGGGTGCTAGAATGCCCAAAGAAAAGGCTCATTGGGAAGGAAGTTCTCCAGTTGGGTCCTAGACTGTCACCATGGAGACAAGAGTCTACCCCACAATGCAACAGGCAGAGGAGGTCTCTCAGTGCCTAGTACGAGCTTATGGATCTGGTTACTCATTGCTTGGTTCTCTCATCTACCCTTTTATTAGAGGGGGCATGGCTGTTTCTGCCCCATGCCCACAGTCTTCCTCCAGGGAAAACTTGGGCTCGATTCTATTTTCTCTGTCCCCCTCCCCGCCCCCCCACCCCCAGTAGCAGTAAGCCTCAGGTCTGCCTTTTGGATCCAAAGCAGGATAAGAACCATTTAAAGATCTAGTCTGACTGCCTCACCTTACCCTCTTTTTTTATAGATAAGGAAACTGAGGCCCAGACAGGGGCTGAGACTGGCTTTAAGTTACACAGCTAGGCGGTAGCAAAGTTGGGATTGAATTCAGGCCTCCCGACTGCTAGTCCAGGGCTCTTTCTAGGAACCAGTATATTGTCTACAGTTTCAAAAAGTTTCCCCACCAGGCCAAAGCGGCCCCTCCCCTGCCCCCCACTCAGCCCTCCTTCTACACATAATTCGGGTTATAGCACAGCATGTTGAACTCTAAGTTCTCGTCCCAGTGCCGCAGCAGCACGAACAGCTGGCGGGCGGCAGCCTTGAGCGTGCCCCTCGTGCGGCCCTCGGGCACCTCCTGCTGCTCCAGCCACGAGTTGGCCTTGGCTGCCACCAGCTCCCACTCGATGAAGTAGGAGGCTGAGCTGTGCTCCAGCCAGGCCAGGGCCACCACAGTGGCCCACAGCTTGCCGGTGTGCTCCACCAGCACTCTGGGCTCCAAGCCTGACCTGCCCTCAGCTGCAGACTCCAGGGAGACGCTGTCACAGGATAGGTGCCGAGGCGAAGGGAGGATGCACAGCTGGGGACTCGAGGTCTTAGAATCAGGTTGGCGGGTGGTGAAGGACACTCGGTGGCAGGTGAAGGGTGAGGTCCACTTGAGCTTCTCCATGGGGATGTGGATAGCCTCGCAGAAGGCTTGGTTGAGCAGGAAGGCTCCGGAGGCCAGCTGCAGTGACACCTGTGTGTGTGGGAGCCCCTCAGTGCACCTCAAACTTCTCAGCCCCTGGAGCTCCAGGTCATGCAATAGTTCAGATTCACACAACCACGTGTTCATCTCCTCCTGCACACCTGGCCTGCCTGGGGGATTTTCAGGATACCCAGGCCAAATGAGCATCCCTATGCTCCAAAACTGACTTATCTGGACAAGCCCAGCTTGGCTACATGACTGTCCAGGGCTGCCCAGCACCCTGGCCTGCTCTCCCCCTCCCTGCGCACTGAAGTCCCAAAAGGTCTACTGGACAGCGTTCCACTGTCTGCCTCCTCATGCTCCCCTCGCCCTCTTCCTCCCTCTGCCCCTCTCCATCCATTGGCCCACACCCAGGGGTATCTCCGTACGGCATAGGTCACGTACTTTCCAAAAACTCACTTCTAGGACTTCACTTTTCTATTAGAGTAAGTCCAGAAAATGATTTATAAAGCCCTCTTTGTCCTGGCCTTTCACCCCCTCAAACTATTCTCCAGCCACCAAGCTGTCTTTCCTCACTAGGCCCTTGGCCATGACTCTTCATCCTTCAAGTCCTGGTTCACTCATTACCTTCCTTGGGAAGCTATCACCCCCAGTCCTGGGTTAAGTGTCACCCCTATATTCCCCCCCCAAACAGACCTCTCCTCTCACAACTCCCAAGGGTTCCAATCCTCTGGATTCCACTGGACACTTAGCAACTACATCTGTCTAGTTCAAGGTTGTCTTCTCAGGGTCTGGCACTGAGCCTGACTCAAATACAGGCTAAGTGAATCTGTGCACAGTGCTCTGCTGCCCTGGATATTTGCGGATCAAAGTGACACTGTGCACTCTTGTGCAGGGACAGGGATGTGCAGTGAAATGCAAACTGGGCCCCTCCTTCAAGCACCCTGTGTTCTCTACCAAGCCTGTCTGCCTTGCTCCTCAATTCAGAGGAGCCCACTCCAGCTCTGGGCTTCCCACCCCACCACAGTGTGCTGGGGTGCCTACAGGGCCACTTGCTAAACACAGTGCATGTCCTTGTGGTGTGAGTTTTACTTGCTTGTGAGTCATTTCAAGGCTTATTTTTATGTACTGAAAACAGACATACAGAGATAGTGCCATAGAATACAAATTCCTGTGAATTTTTAAGGTAAAGACACCAGATTGCAGAGAAGTTTCCCAATGCTGGTGTTGACTTCTAGCCACACCCCAAGGTCCCTGGGCTCGTGCCAGCTCTCTCTGCCCTGCTGGGTTACTAGGGTGGGAAGCCCTAGGAAGCTCCAGACAAGATCTTTTTCCTTTTGGGAAGGGTGGGGTGGGCGGGGGCTGAGTTGGGTGGGAAGGGGTCTGAGGTCTAGGGCACTCACCAGTGGTAAGTAGTCCAAGTTCTGGCTCCCCGAGGTTGACTCAGGAGCCTTGACTAGTGGCTTGCTGAGGAAACCCTTGGCTGCTCGCGACAGCAGTCTGGACTTGCTGAGACTCAGCCTGTGAGGGTAGAGTCAGGAATCCCCGGTCATCCAGTGCCCCAGTGCCCACCAGAAGCCTCTGAAAGTCAGGGCCAGAAGGATCCAGCAGATGCCCTCCCAACCACCTCACTTGACATCTGGGGAGATGGAGGCCTGGAGAGATGGGGAAGTTTCTGCCCCCAGGTCCCTCTGTAAGTTAGCAGCACCAGGGCACAGAGCAGGCCAATGATCCTGTATGAACCTCTTGTGCTACAGTGTCCTGTTCCGTCCAGTGATCAGAGGAGTCCCAGGCCAGCCTACCCAAGGGCACTCCCACTTGAAAAGACATGAAAATGTGTTAGCTAACCACAAGAAAGGGACTTTAGGCAGCTTGAGACCCAGAAGACAGTGGTGCTTCTGGACAGGAGGACCTTCATTTCCTCAGGAAAATGGGAGGCAGCAGAGCACCATGTACTCATGGGAAATTCCACTTACCTGGATCCAAAGAGAGTCTCTGAAGCTTTCATGGAGGACAGGACATTGGTGGGCAGACTGCGCAGGGGACCTGGAGAGTCACAGAATGACAGATCGAGGTCTGACAGGTGACCTGTCCAATTGCTCACTGTCTAGCTGGGGAGAGAGAGGCCAGAGCAGGACAGGGGCTTGTCCTAGGGGTCCGAGCTAGCCACAAGGCAGAAGGCTGTTTCTGAGCCAGGTGGTATGGGCAAGGGTGAAATAGGTAAGGAACAGGTGAGGAATCCAAGGGTCCTCCAGCCAGCCTCATGCTCCCAAATGGAGACAATGAGTTGACCCCCGGGCACATTGTTGGAAGGCAGAATGGGTGGGACGATGGCCCAGTTGGAATCAGGAAGCCTGACTCTGGGCCTGACTTGCTGTGTGACCTTGACAAATCACTTGTCCCTTTTGAACCTTTAAATTGGGGATAATCCTCTTTACCTCTCACAGGCTGTTCTGGGGGATCGGTGAAGTCCTGAGCACTCTGCTGGTGCTGAGACAGCCCCTGGCCCCAGGACCACTCACTTATCTCCATTTTAATAAGAAAAGGACAGTCCTGCTGCCCGCTCACCTTCTGAGACAGCACGCTTCTCGTGGCCGAGGGACGGGACCTCACAGAAGGGCATGGTGGAACTTTCCTCCATGGCTACAACACAGGAAGTCAGTGAGGCCTGACCCATCCTGACCCTCCTTCCTCCCCTCCCATGCTTGCTTCAAATCCCAATTACTCTGCTGACTAGCTGTGGAATCTTGGTAATGTGGTTTCTTTATAAATACCATTTGCAAGTTGGAGTTAATGGCACCTATCTCACAGCATCACTGTAAGGATTCAGTACACAGGTAATCCAGCTAAGAGCTCAATAACCATAGACCTGTAGGGAAGCAGGAACAAGTCAGGGATTTCGGGTGAAGGGTGTGTGGAGAGGCATTTCATCCTCCTCAGGTCTGTGTTCAATGAGGAGGTGCTCCTGCCAGCTCTCTGAGGCACCAGGGCATGGCCCTGACCTATCAGAGGGTTCTGAGCTTCAGTTTTCCCATCTGTACAATGGGAATAATAATCTACATCTACCATGTTCAAAATTCTTAACCAAGGTGATTACTCTATGACTGCCTTTTCAAGAGTCAGACAGACAGGACAATCCACTATAAGGGACTATTCAGATTTTAGAAAAGACTTCATGTACAAATATATTCAGCAAAGTCTGTCTCCCAACAGGAGACCATTAGCTTTGGGAGGACCAAGATGCAGCTGAGCTTGTGGCCTTGAGTACAAGAGGGAACTATAGACTCAGTAATTGAACAACTGAGGCATCCAGGAGACACATGGGGAGGCTATATCTTGCGGCCTCTGAGCCAAACAAGGGGTTCAAACCTTGGCTCCATCACACATCAGCTGTGTGACTTTGACTGAGTCACTTGACCTCTCTGAGCCCCAGTTTCCTCATCTCTTAATCGGGAAACATAAACTCTCTCAAGATGGTTGTGAGGACTCCTGAGTCATTAGAACAGTGCTGAGCACAGAGAAAACAGTCAGGTTTAGCTATCTTTCGTCTTCCTGAGGGAGGGAAAGGGTGTGGGGTAGTGGGGAAGAGTAAGCGTTTAGAAGCAGGAGACACTTGAGCGTGAATATAGGGCAGTAGAAAGGAAATGATTTCCGTGGAAGCCATGGCCACTGACAGCCGAGCTGCAGAGAAGGACAGGACTGATGGGAAACCCCCTAGAAGGCAGAGCAGGTTCCCTGGGGCTGGAGGCCAAGGGGACAAGAGATTAGAGAGGCTTTAATTCTCTGTGTGACTCTGGGGGTCCACACCCCCATGATGTTTCTTTTTTTGACCCATCAATGACCATGAGCACATTCTTTCTTCTCAGATCGAACATTTTTACAGCCTGGTGGCCGCGTAGGACCTCTGCCATCCTCTGCATGCCCGGTGGCAGGCAGCGCATCTCCCTCTGCGCATGCAGGGCAGCAGGAAGGGGTTAGGACTAGTGCAGCTTTTATGCTGTCTGTAGAGAGCCAGCAAGACAGCCATCCTGTAAACCAGGGCAAGGTCACACAAGGCTACATCACGGCTCTTGGAGGTGACAGGCTGCAGGCGCAATGAAATCGGGTGAAGGTTGAAAGGAAGCTGGAGAGAAACAGATGGTGGGACCTGAACAGACGGAACAGCCCCTCTGCTCTTCCCTGTGCCCTGTGTATGAAGTTTCCTGGTATCTGGAGCCTGGGTGGACCCAGAGGCCAGAAGGGCGGCTGAGGGGGACAGGGCAGCCATGCGGGGAGGTCAGAAAGAGAAGCTACTCCCAGCCCCTCTGCAAAGGCTATGTTAATGACACTATGCTCGAGCATGGACACTATGTCCTCTTTAGGCTTCAGAGAGCCTGGGAGGCCTGGCCTCACCCTGTCCCTGCCTGAGGGCTTGGAGAGAAGGACATAAGGATGCCATCACATCAGGGGCCCAGGCTTCTGACCACACCAAAGTGACTCTTACTTAGGGTCTGAAATTTGCCATCTCCCGCGGCTGAGTCTTCTCTGAGCATGGTCTGCGGCCGTCCGAAGCCAGTAGAGGTGCCCCTCCACTGCCGGGTCAGAACCCGGGAGCTGAGCATCCGAAATGTGGCACCTTTATGGACACAAGGACAAGGGGTCAGATGGGTGCACACACCAGTCCTTGCCCCCTTCCCAAGGCTGATGGGAATGACTGACTTTCATTTTTCAATTAGCCCAAGACAGGAAAGCATGGTACAAGGTAAGACCATGAGGTTTGCAGTCAAAACAACCTCGATTCGTGTTCCAGTCCCAGCTCTTACAAACTGGATGAGAGGTAAACCACTCTGTGCCTCCGTTTCCCTATCTGGAGATGGGTAGATAGCACTGTGCAGGAAGCAGCAATATTTCCCAGTTGGACACTGCTTTTCTCAGAAACACCCTGCCCCCTGCTGCTCTGCCCCCTACTGTCACAGAGACCCATGTCCTGTGCTCCTCTCACAGGCAGAACCTAAAAGTCCTGGACATTGCCTGTGGAGGCTGGATGGAAGAAGGATAAGACCAGAGCCCCCGAGGGGTTTAGGGAAGTCTGCTCTCAGAGAACACTAGTCTGCAAGTTGTTCCTTAAAAAAGTAAGTTTGGAGGAGCCTTGGGTCATAGTCATTCCCTTAGCTTCCTCACGTGTACATGTGTACTGACATCCGGGCCTCTGAGCACTCCTCAGCTTTATTTAATCCAGGGGTCCTAACCTTGTGTTTCCTGGTGTGTATGTGTGTTGGGACAGCCAGCCATTCACAGGACAGGAAACTAGAGTGGAGTTTCTTAGCATCCATGTGGGTCCGTTCTGGTCCAGATCACAGGGGCCTTTGGGACGAGGGGTGAGACATTGGCCAGGTCCTTGATGCCCACCCCAAGGCTGTGCTACAGATCCTGGCATTGTGGTCAAAGATGTGCAGGAGAGGGGGACATCCTGCGTCCTAGCAGTGGGAATGAGAACGTGCAGTAGTACATGGCTAGGGTTTGTGGACTGCTGGCCCAAGCTGGAAATGATGGCACTGGAGGTGGGGGGTGAGTGGCAGGATGAATGGTTGATCCTTTTGGTGCCACAAATAAAAAAGGGGGACAGGAGGATGAAGAAGGGCAGTATGTTTCTGAACACATTCTTTTTTTGAAAGTCTGATTTTTAAAAAAAGGAACTGTAAAGGACAAGAAAATGTAATTCAGACAAGGAAAAGCAGACTTCAAAAACATAAGTAGCTCACAAAAAAATTTAAAGAAATGCCCTCCAGGCACCGGTGGCTCACTCCGGTAATCCTAGCTAACCAGGAGGTGGAGATCAGTAGGATCATGGTTCAAAGCCAGCCCAGGCAAAATAGTTCGCAAGACCCTATCTCGGAAAAAAAAAATCACAAAAAAAATAGGACTGGCGGAGTGACTCAAGGTGAAGACTCAGTTCAAACCTCAGTACCACAAAAAAAAAAAAAAAAAGCCCCCATGAGATTCTTTCCTTCCTTGTCAGGATGAGCAGAGTTGAGAAAGACATAGAGTAATGGGTTGAGGGTGTAGCTCAGTGGTAGAGCTCTTGCCTAGAAAGAGAAACAATATTCAGTGTTGGGGAAGACAGGTGTGGACTAACCTTTGGGGTGGGGAAGTTTGGAATGTGCACCGCAATTTTAAAAGGGCACATCCTTGATATGGCAGTCCTACTTGTCAGATTTAATTAATTCAGCAGAAAACCAGGCAGGTGCACAGAGATAGATGTTTTTTGCAGTGCAATTACCAATAAACAACTGGTAAAAAAACCTAAATGTCCAAAAGGCACAAATGGTTGCCATAAATATTGAGACTGAAGAAAGCTGGGAGAGAACTCAGGCTCCGGAGCCTGCCTGTCGACTATTTTCTGGACAGGCTTCCAAGAGCTCAGGAAACAAGAGCAAGAATTGACAAAAAGATTGCTTCAAATGAAAAAGCTTCTGCACATCAAAAGAGACACTTATCAGAATAAAGGGACAGCCCACAGAATAGGAGGAAATCTTTGCAAACTATTCATCGACAAGGGGTCAGTATCCAGAAAACATATAGAGCTCAGAAAAGTAAACACAAATTAATAAATGAGCAAGTAAATTAAACAGTTTTCAAAAAGGCCAATAAACACATGAAGAAGTGCTTATCATCCTTATCCATTAAGAAGTAGAAATCAAAACAACAGTGAGCTTCTACCTCACTGCAGTCAGAATCACTGTCCTCAAGAAAACAACAGGGCTTGCCTAGCAAGCTCAATGCCGTGAGTTCAAACCTCGGTATTGTCAAAAAAAAAAAAAAAAGAAGAAGGGAGGGAGAGAGGAGGGAAGAAAGAAATGAATGAATGAATAAATAAATAAATGCTGGCAAGGATGGGGGCCAGGGGGAAGAGGGAAAGGAACTCATATACATCCTTATACACTGTTGGTGGGGATGTAAATTTGCCCAGCCATTATGGAAATCAGCATGGTGATTCCCCAAAAACTAAGACTAGAACTAGACCATACGGATCCTCCCACCCCACTCCTGGGTGTACATGCACCTGAAGGAATGCAAATCAGCATGCACTAGTGACACCTGCACATCCATGTTCACTGTGGCACAATTCACAATAGCCAAGTTACAGAATCAGGCCAGATATTATTCAGCAATAAAGAAGAACGAAATTGTGTTATATGCAGGGAAATGGATGGAGCTGGAGACCATAATATTAAGTGAAATAATCCAGACTCAGAAAGATATACAGCGCATGTTTCCTCTCATATGTGAAATCTAGATCTATAAATACAAACAAATAAAAGACATGAGCCTAAATAGAGGACTATTTGTGGGGGAAGGCAGTGGGAAAGAGGGGAGAAGGACAAGAGAGGCTGCTGGGAGTGAATAAGATGAAAGTGCATTATATGCACGCGTGGAAATATTGTAACAAAAACCGTTATTTTGTATGATAAATGAATCTTTAAAAGCCTGCCTGTGCTTGACTTGCTGTGTGACCTTAGGCAAGTTACTTAACCCCCTCTGCTTCTGAGTTCCATCTGTAAAATGGAACGATGATATATCAACTTTGCAGAGCTGTTTTGAGGGTCAAATGATTTAAAATATAGACACAGTACTTTGGAACACCATTTGATTGGCTATTGTGAGGACGGACTCTCCTTGCACTGGAATACACTAGTGATTAAATTGTGCATATAATGCTCCTTGCTCCTTTGTGGATACATTTTTCATACCCATATTTTGAAAAGTATAGCACAGCTGGGCATGGTGGCACATGCCAGTAATCCCAGCTACTTGGGAGGCAGAAACAGAAGGATTGCTGTTGGAGACCAACCTGTAAAAAGTAAGTGAGAACCCTCCCCCGCCCGTATCAACGAACTGCACATGGTGGCCCTTGCCTGTGATCCCAGGTACATGGGAGGCCGTAAGTAGGAAGATCATGGTCCTAGGCTGTCCTAGGCAAAACTACAAGAACCTATCTGCAAAATGGCCTAAGGCAAAAAGGGTTAGAGGTATGGTTCAAGCACAAGGCTCTGAATTCAAATCCTAGTTCCATCAAAAGAAAGAAAGAAGAAAAGAAGAAAAGGAGAAAAGAAAAGGAAAGAAAGGAAGGAAAGGAAGGAAGGAAGGAAGGAAGGAAGGAAGGAAGGAAGGAAGAAAGGAAGGAAGGAAGGAAGAAAGAAAAAGAAAAGAAAGAAAGAAAGAAAAGAAAGAAAGAAAGAAAAGAAAGAAAGAAAGAAAGAAAGAAAGAAAGAAAGTAGACATCAAGAGAAATCTGGAAGGATGGACACACCAGTGTGGCACCTACTCCTCATTCCAGGGTGACTGTCAGTCCCAGTCATTCATATTTATTTTGTATCATTCTACATTTTGGAAATTTCTATAAGGAGCACATGTCATTGTCTCTCAGGGAAAAAATTCAGTAAAATCATTTTCTTTTGGTGAGGAAAAGGAACTGGGATGGGCACCCTATGGTGGTCAAACCTTCTGCCTGGGCCTTTCTGCTTCTAGGCCCTACCTTCACCTCTCCCTGCAGGGCTGAGCACCCTGTATCTCAGCCTCTCCCCCAGTCCATGGGCTGTGTGACCCTCAGGGGCAACCCAGCTACCTGCACGCCTTACCGGAGTTGGGGTACTCCACCACCATGGGCAAGTACCGGCTCTTTCTCATGTCCACAGGCACGAAGGCTGTGTACTTGCTTATGATGTTGCAGGCCTTGCTGGTGTGCACTGCGTTCACCTGGTAACGCCGACTGGACCCTGAGGGGTGGGAGTGGGAGGGGTACTGGGGTCACCATTTGGTCTTGGAAAGTCCTACTTTGATCCGGAAGCTCTGGAAGCTAAAAGCAGGGCTCAAACAGCTATCCTTATCTTTGGAATTAAATAGGCCTTAAAATCAAGGGACTGTTTTTTGCCAATTACAGACATTAAGAAAAAAAATCATCATTTGACATCATTATTTCCCAAAATAGAGGATATTTTAATGTAAAAAAGTTAGGGGAGGTAGAGGCAGGAGGCTCACAAGTGTGAGGCCAGCCCAGGCAAAATTATCAAGACCCTATCCCAAAGCAAAGTACAAACAAAGGGGTAGGGGGATAGAGCTCTTGCCTAGCATGAGCCACCAAAAAGAAAAAAAAAAGTTAAAAGTCATTATCTTAGAATAAAAGATAGCTAACTCCCTTAAATCACTTCAGTTTTTAAAAACTCTCTATGTTATGTGTATTTTATATTTTAATTTTGCAGATGTCTAATGGGAACCTTGCTGCAGGATTTCATAGGTTCCTTGACTGATCTGACCTATTAAACTGCCTACCATGAAGACTGAAAATCACAGAGGAGAGTGGAAGTGCAGGAGTCACACAGCGAGTTGTAATGGACTTGAGATGAGGACTCAAAATGAGGGGACTCAAAGCCCAAGCCATTTTCACTGAATGGGGCAGGATCTGTGGCTTGCTGCCTCCAGAGAGGATAAGGTACTTTATAAACTAAAAGGGGAAGAAAAAAACCCCATGCATTCCTCCCAAATACAGATAAGATATAAACAATATAACATGTAAATAAAACATAAACCTAAAACAAAGACATCATATAGTGCTTCTCTATTTTTATCTCTACCTATTCTCCAAGATCTCACTATCGTTTTCTGGGGGAAGTCTGCCCCAATTCCTGGACTAAATTAGTTTCCCCAACATCTTTGTTATACAAGGATCCCTGTTTCTTCTTGACGGCTCTTAGGACAAATGCACTCAATTATGAGTAATTGTTTGATTAATCTGGCTTCTCTGTTAAGTCTGTGTCAAGACTCATGGATGAGGAAGGAGAGGATAGATGTTCAGTTACATCGGCTCCTAGCTGGGACCCCAGCCCGAAGTCAATGGCACTGATGAGAGTGGTGGATCTGTGACAGGTCTAGGTACCCGGGGGGGAAAGGTGCTGTCCCAGAGGAGCAATCGCCATTGTTCCATCTCTGGAGTCCTACATGGGAGAAGGGGAGAAGCACTGGCAAGTGGGCGTGGGGACCGTAGGAGAGGGGAAAAGAGGCTGGAGAGAGGATGGATCAGACCTTGGGGGTGGGAGAAGCGAGGAGACCAAGGGCTCGGGGAGGCAGGGAGACCCAGGCTGTGTCTAGGCGTGTAAGGGAGAAGGGTGCACCTGGGGGCAACGGTGATGGTAGTGGTGGGGGATGGAGCACTGGCCAAGGGATGGGCTGTGGGGAGGTGGGAGGGGGCTGGAGGCAGGGGAGGAAGGACTGGGATCTTGAGCAAAATGGAGAGAAGGTGGGGCAGGAGGCGAGGCTAGTGGGCGGGGTCGTGAGAAGGGGGTTGGCCGGAAGGAGGCAGGTTTGGGGGCGGATGGATCATAGAGGAGAATAGGGGGGCAGGGCAGGGCTGGGGATGGTTCTTTAGAGTGGGCGGGGCACTAGCAGCACTGCGGGGAGGGCTTAGGGAGTGAGCAAGGACTGGCAGGGCCGCGGGGAGGGGCTGGGGATGGACTGAGGAGTGGGCGGGGCACCGGCAGGGCCGCGGGGAGGGGCTGGGGAATGGACTGAGGAGTGGGCGGGGCACTGGCAGGGCCGCGGGGAGGGGCTGGGGATGGACCTGAGGAGTGGGCGGGGCACCGGCAGGGCCGCGGGGAGGGGCTGGGGATGGACTGAGGAGTGGGCGGGGCAGGTGGCGCTCACCTTGCTCTATCTCCCCCTCGCGCTCCGCCAGCTGCTCGAAGTCTCGGATGATGGCGCGGGCCGCCAGATGGTGGAAGGTCTCACTCCACAGGTCGACATCGCGCGCGCTGCCTTGCTCCGGTCCGGGGGGCCCCAGCTCGAAGCTCACCTCCCACTGCAGGTGCTGGCTGTCGCGCAGGCCTTTCACCAGGGCCTTGCCCAGCACAGGGCTGGGGTGGTAGGCCTCCCCGGACTGGCCCCCGCCTCGGACTCGGCCATGGGCTCCCAGTCTGAGGATGTCTCTGTCTCGAAGACGGACGGGTGATGGGATGGCTCTGTGGATGGAGGAACAAGAGCCAAGCCCTGAGCTGGGGGACAGATGACCACTCCCCATAATCATCCCTCCCCAGGGCGCAGTCACCCCTAGCAAGTACTAGCCCTTCTTTCCGAGGATAGCTGGGGTGACATGGGCTTGTCCCCAAGGGAGGGACAGATCCACATTCTAGGAAGCCTGTACCTGAAGGGTCCAGATAGAATGGAATGGGGCACTTGGGCAGGAAGGATGGAGATGCTGCCCAGGGGCCAGGTTGAGTGGAAGATGGTGGGATTGGCAGGTCCTCAGGGAAAGGACGCAAACACAGGCATTAACCCTCTGGGTCTGTCGTCTGAAGTTAGGTTACATCCAAGGATTCCTCCTTGTCGTGGACCTCTGGCACTTACCCAGGTCCCCAGGGCTGCGGCTGTCCAGAGCAGGCTTCAGGCTGGACCCAGGCTCTAACTCCCTCATGGAGCTCCAGGTCTGGGTCTCCTGGCCAGAAAGCAGGAAGGGCTGGCAGCCTTGAGGCAGTAGGGAGGGTCTGCGGGCCCCTGGGCCATGGAGTTTGGGACCCTGGCACGGGTCCTGGCCACTGTTCACCAAGGGCTAGTGGTACAAGAAGAGGAGGAGGAAAAGGAGGAGGAGGAGGAGGAGGAGGCAGAGCCCATGGTGACAGGAACTTCCTTCCCCTGTCCCAGCCATAACTCCTTCTGGGTCACTGCCCCTCCTGATCTAGTCTCCCTTACCCAGGAGAAATTTCAACAAGAATAATCCCAAAACCATGGGTAAATTCCAAGCCATGACAAACCATGGAAAATTCACACACCATGAAGAATTCTAAACCTACTTTTTTTTTTTTGGCTTAAAGTTTAAAACTTTTTTGTGTGTAGTTAAAATTATCAACCTTTTTCCTTATGTCTTCCCATATGTTGTGCTTAAAAGGTCTTTCCCACTCAAAAATATTCTAGAATTTTTGTGATTTTATTTTTGTTTGTGTGTTTAAATCTTTGATTCACATGAAATTTATTTTACTGTAAGGAGATAGGAAGCAGCTTTTCTTTGATTTTCCAAATGTTACAGACCTCAACATTTTTTATTGGATACAGTTTATCCATTTGGCTTTGTCTATGGACTTTCTGTTGATTCAATCTATCTGTACTTGGGCTGGTGCAAACAAACATCAAAAGACAAGGGATAAACTGGGAATTATATTTGCAACATGCAGGGCACTGGAGGGAAAAGATCAAATTAGTAGAATAGTCCATTAAGGATATTCACAAGCAGTCTATAGCAAAAGTATTCAATAAACCCATGAAAAAAAAAGCTCAGTCTCAGGAAAAATTAGAGCAATGAAAATTAAAACAAACTACATTCCCCCCCCACCCCATTTTTCAGACTGGCAAATATTTAAATATTTGATGACATCGATTCTGGTCAATGAGGAGACAGGGTCTCTCACGGACTATAGGTGGGAGTGTAAACTGGCACATGTTTGTGGGAAAATAATTTAGCAATGCACTATCTAGTTACAATTACAATTCACAAGCCCCTTTGATCCAGCAGTTCTATTTTTAGAAATTCAACTCTGTAGAAGCCCATGGGAGAGGGGAGGGGAGTGCAACCCCTGTACTCTTGTTGCAGTATTATTTGTAAAGTAAAAATCTGGAAATTGTACATTTGTCAGTAGGGGAGGGTGAATAAGTTATGGTATATCCATACAATGGAACATTAAACAACACTGAACAGAAAGATTTATTTAAACCAATACAAGAAGATGTCCAAGATAAAACTTTTTTTTTAAATCAGCCATGACTTCTGCATCTTAACTGTAGCAAAGATTGCATGACTATATAGGCATTTGTCAAATCCTATAGAGCTGTTCACCAGAATACTGAGTGAGGTGATGCCTGTATGCAATCCCAGTGCTCAGGAGGCAGAGGCGGGAGGATCGTGAGTTCAAGACCAGTTTGTGTTATATAGCAATACCTTGTCTCAAACAAAACAAAATGAAGTGAAACAAAACCATTTGCCAGAAAGAGTAATTTTACTGAATATAAAAAGTGAATTAAAGAGATGTTAAGAGAGTTGGAGAGCAGCTCATATATTCAATTATTTAAAAATAGGTGTGCACACGTGTGTGTTTATGTGTAGTATTTTTAGAAAGAAACACTCAAAATCAAGTGGGCTTTGGCACAGGGGAGGAGAACTTTTATTTGTACTTTGTACCCAACTGAACTGTATGAGAGGTTTACTGCAAACACTAAGTATGTATTCTTCTCTACCTGAAGAATATTAAATTACTTAAAAATGAATTTCAAGCTCCTGGGACCACATACATTCCTTGATGGGGAAGGGATAAGGAAACAAAGGCAGGTATGAGGTGTAGCAGAATTTTTAGGCCAACAGCTAACCTTGGGGGCTTTGAAAATCCCTATTTATTGGGAGGGGGAGTGTGTCTCTGCATTGATGAGGTCTACTACCTTCCTGTCTCTGGGCCAGAGGTCCTAGGAATGAGACAAGGGTGTGGGAGGAGACTTGTCACTTTTAGTAAGGCCTCCAAAGGAGCTGGTATGCAACCATGGCTGCTGGGTCCCAGGCAATCATTAACAGCTCCCCCCTCATCAGAGACTAGGATTCCCTCAACTCTGACCTTACATCACCATACTATGTCAGAGAGAGAGAGAGAGAGAGAGAGAGAGAGAGAAACTGAAGCTGCTACAGTTTCCATGGTAACAGATGAGTCTAAGATCCATCTCTTCATCCATGAAGAGGCTCCAGGGGGTGGGAGGTGGGAGGGGAGGGAGAGAGAGAGAGAGAGAGAGAATGAATAGTGTATTTTGGACTTTTGGGTACAAGTATGTTGGGAGAACCAGGGCAGGAAGCCAGGCAGGAGACAGGGAAGAGATGCACAAAGATGGGCAGGAAGGGTTGAGAAGCAAGCAGAAGAGAAGGGGAACCAGTGTGCCAAGCAGAGCTGCCACTGAAGGACACCTGCTGTGCTGTGTCAGGGAACTGGGCCAGCACTTTGTCTCCCATCACCCAAAACTTGGAAGAATCCTCCCCTAGAGCTGGATCCCAATATATATCCACTGATGGACAGCAGCTCAACTGCCGCATATGCTGTATTCCCCATAGATGGGGTGGCTGGGGCTCAGAGAGATTAAGAAACAGGGTGAGGAACAGTCTGCATCACTCCAAGGCTAATACCTTCCAATTACATCAGAGGATCCATGGCTAAATGCAGAGGAGCGCCCCAGGGTCAAGGTGGCCATACTGGCCTGTGTGCGTGTGTGTGTGATTGTGTGTGTGCATGTAGGCAGATCGGAATGAGGTTGGGGGAGGGGTATTGGGGAGAGGAAAAAAGCCCTTTCTTAACAAATGAGTTAAATCACAAACTACTTTAGGATCATGGCTTGCAATTGAGTGATTTTGCCTCTTGTGGGACATTTGGCCATGTCTGAGAACATTTTGGTTGTCATTACTAGGGATCTTGACACGATTGGCCTCCAGTGGACAGGGGCCAGGAGTGCTGTCAAAATCGATGATGCCCAGGACAGACCCCCTGCGGGGAGGAATGATCAGGGCATGGCACTGGGTCTGAGAAGCCCTGGTTGGCAGAACGCTGGTGACCCTTCTGTTGTGGCTCTGGTTCTCACATCATCCTATCGACTGGCAGGAAAAGCAGTGTGATAGAGAAGAAGCAAGGGCTTTGAAGGCAGAGGATCCTGGTCACAGCCCCCTGACTCACTCTGTGACTCTTGGGTACATTGCTTTTGTTTTCTGGTCCCCAGTTTCCAAATCTGTACCAAGTGGGGATCATGGTCCCTAAACTCCCTCCTCTCTCAGGGTGCTGTAAAGTCTAATGACAGTAGATACAGATGCTCCTTTCCAATTGGGAAGTGTGATGTTCAGGCAGTGGTGACCTCATGGACCAGTGAGTATCATGATTAGGAAGGTGTCACTGGGGTCAGGCACTTGAAGGCACAGAAAAGGGAGGAGGGAGTGGTTTACTTTTGTGATCTAGGGCTACCTACAATGGAAACCAGAAGCATCTAGAGGCCTGGCATCATCACACAGGCCTGGACTCTGTGTCTTACCTAGTACTCAGCCTACCTGCATAAGTGGTGGACAGGCCTGTCCTCATTGTTGACACATGAAATGCAGCTTCCCCCACCCCTCAGCTCTTCCCCAACTGATTGGCTCTGCTTCAGTACCTGCAAGTCAATCTGCCACGGTGGGCTGTCCAGGCTGGTGTGATTGGTGAGGTCCTGCAGCCTGGCTTTTCGCAGTGGTGTCTCCTAGCAGACACAGTAGGGTCGCTGGCTGTGGTGGTCCGTGGGCAGGGCTTGTGGTTGGTGATCTGGTTGGTACTGTATGCCCTTCGTCTCTGGGAGAGGTCCAGACCTGGGCAGGGGAAGTGAGAGGAGAGTTGTCAGGTGGAGGATAGTGGGGCAAGAGAGAGGAGTGCATACCCTCTTCCTGCTTGGAATTTGGCCTGCTAAAATATGTGCAGGTGCCTCCCCTGGCATCAGATGCCTTGCCAGACCTGGCCCTAGTTTGTCTTCCCAGCCATCCTCCCTTCTCCCCTTTTAAAAGGTCCGGGGTGCTCCAAACAAACTAGTGCAGCCAATTGTGCAGGTGCTGCCTAAGTGTCACACATCCACTCCTTTGCCTGGGTGCTTTCTGCTGCCTGGAACTCCTCTCCCTTTCCAGTTCTAAGAATCAGACCCTGTGTGAAGTCTGTTGATATTCTCAAGCAGACATCACAGTGTGGCCTCCATCACCCTGCTTCTAACAGACTTAAGATCAATTGTATCTTTCCCACCAGATGGAAAGCTCCTGAAGGGCAGGTGCCAGGTAGGCCTCATCTTTGCTTCCCACACGGTACTCAGTACCTAGCCTTACTGAGTAATCAGTGGGTGCCCTTTGAAGATGGAAAGGAATACTGTAAAGAGGCAGATAGGTCTAGACTCTTCATGTGTACTCTACCTCTTTCAGGAATATAGCTCCAAGAACATAGACAGTTGCTTAAATTCTCTGAGTCTCAGTTTCCTCATCTGTACGATGGGTATAATAGCATTCACCATGGCTTCCTTGCAAAAGGGAGCAGAACTAAAAGCTCAGAGGACCAACCGTGATTGGTGGTGGAGTCACCGCTCAAAAGCCGGGCATCTTTGGCCTGCCCCAGGCTGAAGGACGCTCCCATGCTTTTGGTACAGTCCCCACTGTCTGGGCCAAGTTCCTTGTCCTGAGAGGGGTAGAAGACAGAACTGCCAGACTCCTGAGATTGCAGCATGCCGTACCTTCGCCTCTTGTCCTGGAGGGAGAAGAGGAAAGTGTTGGAGTGAGGCCTGATATCAGCAAGGACTTCCATGGGGCAGTGGGGGTGGTGGGTGTTCCACCCTGAAGAACTAGCAGAGTAAGAAAGTGTTTTTGTTTGCCTAGGGAATTTAGGCAAACTTCTGTTCAAGAGATGGTGGATGCAAGAGGCCACGAAAGCCAAGGCAATACTCAGTCAAAAGAACAATGCAGGAGGTATCACAATGCCTGACTTCAAACTATATTACAAAGCAATAACAATAAAAACAGCATGGTACTGGCACAAAAACAGACATGAAGACCAGTGGAACAGAATAGAGGACCCAGATATGAAGCCACACAACTATAAGCAACTTATCTTTGACAAAGGAGCTAAAAATATACGATGGAGAAATAGCAGCCTCTTCAACAAAAACTGCTGGGAAAACTGGTTAGCAGTCTGCAAAAAACTGAAACTAGATCCATGTATATCACCCTATACCAATATTAACTCAAAATGGATCAAGGATCTTAATATCAGACCCCAAACTCTAAAGTTGATACAGGAAAGAGTAGGAAATACTCTGAGTTATAGGTATAGGTAAGAACTTTCTCAATGAAACCCCAGCAGCACAGCAACTAAGAGATAGCATAGATAAATGGGACCTCATAAAGCTAAAAAGCTTCTGTTCATCAAAAGAAATGGTCTCTAAACTGAAGAGAACACCCACAGAGTGGGAGAAAATATTTGCCAACTATACATCAGACAAAGGACTGATAACCAGAATATACAGGGAACTTAAAAAACTAAATTCTCCCAAAACTAATGAACCAATAAAGAAATGGGCAAGTGAACTAAACAGAACTTTCTCAAAAGAAGAAATTCAAATGGCCAGAAAACACATGAAAAAATGCTCACCATCTCTAGCAATAAAGGAAATGCAAATTAAAACCACACTAAGATTCCACCTCACCCCTGTTAGAATAGCCATCATCAGCAACACCACCAACAACAGGTGTTGGCGAGGATGCGGGGAAAAAGGAACCCTCTTACACTGTTGGTGGGAATGTAGACTAGTACAACCACTCTGGAAAAAAATTTGGAGGCTACTTAAAAAGCTAGACATCGATCTACCATTTGATCCAGCAATACCACTCTTGGGATATACCCAAAAGACTGTTACTCCAGAGGCACCTGCACCCATGTTTATTGCGGCACTATTCACAATAGCCAAGTTATGGAAACAGCCAAGATGCCCCACCACTGACGAATGGATTAAGAAAATGTGGTATCTATACACAATGGAATTTATGCAGCCATGAAGAAGAACGAAATGTTATCATTCGCTGGTAAATGGATGGAATTGGAGAACATCATTCTGAGTGAGGTTAGCCTGGCCCAAAAGACCAAAAATCGTATGTTCTCCCTCATATGTGGACATTAGATCAAGGGCAAACACAACAAGGGATTGGACTATGAGCACATGATAGAGCACAGATAAAAGCGAGAGCACACAAGGGAGGGGTGAGGATAGGTAAGACACCTAAAAAATTAGCTAGCATTTGTTGCCCTCAACGCAGAGAAACTAAAGCAGATACCTTAAAAGCAACTGAGGCCAATAGGAAAAGGGAAACAGGTGCTAGAGAAAAGGTTAGATCAAAAAGAATTAACCTAGAAGATAACACCCACGCACAGGAAATCAATGTGAGTCAATCCCTGTATAGCTATCCTTATCTCAACCAGCAAAAACCCTTGTTCCTTCCTATTATTGCTTATACTCTCTCTACAACAAAATTAGAAATAAGGGCAAAATAGTTTCTGCTGGGTATTGGGGGGGGAGAGGGAGGGGGCAGACTGGGTGGTAAGGGAGGGGGTTGGGGCAGGGGGGAGAAATGAACCAAGCCTTGTATGCACATATGAATAATAAAAGAAAAAGGAAAAAAAAAGGAGATGGTGGATGGAAATTTCTTATCACTTAACGTTGATATTTTTAATCATTGACCTCATTCATTAAAATTTTTTTTAAAAATGTAATTCTACTTGCCATTTCTGTCTCCAAATAGGTAACCAGAATGAACTAGCTGTGCCTTCGTTTCATTCCTCATGTTATGCCACACACACTAGACACCTTGGAATCCTGCGTGTCAGCCATTCTCTTTAACACTCGACCTTACAGTGTTCCACAACCTCTTACTGCTAAGCACTCTCTCTGTGGCTGTTGATTTTTGCCACCACAAAATGTTTGGTAATAAATCTATTACTTTTATTTCTCTGGGTCAGAGTCCTAGAAGTGGGATTTCTGGGTTGAAAGATTTATGCATCTCTAATTTTATTGGTTATTTCTAGATTGCTTTCTAGGAGGGCAGTGGAAAGTCATGTTTGCACCAACAATATATAAAGGTGCTATTTATCCAACACCTCTGCCAGTAGCAGGAGAAAACTGGCCAGTCTTGTGGGTAAGATAGGGAGAATGCATCTGATGACTTCTTGGGTCCCTTCTAGTGGGAAGGTCTGTTGATGACCTGGTAGCTTCCATACCTTCAAGGGGGGGGTGGGGAATCTGTGCTGAAGAAAGATCTGGTCAGTATTTTGTTTAGCATTTCTCCCACTCTACCCCCCGCCCAGTTGAGCAATCCTCTCTCCACAATATATTAACATTACTCTGACCATGGTTCTTAAGAAATTCCATAGCTTAAAAAATTTGGAGATTTCACATATAATTCCAGTTTGTTTGGAAACATTTAACTCAGGGCCACAGCCCTGCATGGTGACAGTTTGTTAGTGCTGAGTAAGGGCTGCCAGCTTAGCTAGGGCAATTTGCCGTATTCCCACTACTCCTAATTGCCTCTCCAACTCTGAGCTCAGTGATGGCTGCTATCCATCCTGGCTTTTGCTTTTTTTTTTTTTTTTTGGTGGGACTGGGGTTTGAACTCAGGGTTTCATGCTTGCAAAGCAGGTGCTCTACTGCTTGAGCCACATGTCCTGGCCATTTTGCTGTGGTTATTTTGGAGATGGAGTCTTGCCCACTGTTTGCCTGGGCTGGATGTGAACCATGATCTTCCCGATCTCAGCCTCACAAGTAGCTAGGATTATTAGGCATGAGCCACCGGCGCCCGGCCCTTTTCATTTTTATAGCAAGTCTACTTATTCCTGCCCGGTCACTTTAGGCAGAGTTTGTGACTCTGTGTAGCAAAACAAGATAAGGGCTCTAGAACAGTGGGTAGACGTATTTTTTGCGAGACGGACCTCTGTTGTATCATAACCCACGTGAAACAAGATTGAAACTCATTACACTTTGAGGAACAGAGAGCCAACTGAGCAATTGCATAACAGAGATCAAAAGAGTGGGAGGTTGAGAAGGTGATCGGAGTTCCTTTAGCCAATCTCCGTACATTGTATTTTAGTCCCGCTGAATGTCACCTTTCCTGAGAGTCTCTCTTTGCCTTTGCAAAATGCAAATGCCCTTAATTCAAAAACTCCAGAACCTCATAAATATAATACCCAAACTTACCTCCAATCCAAATAAAGTATGATTGCGCTTTAATGTATGATTTGAAATACCTGTGACCAACTTCGTAGGGTAAATAGAGTAAAGATGACGCAACAAAGTGTCGAGAGTGAAGGCCTGCTGATCTTAGGCTTGTGGTGACAAGGTTACCGATTCACGAGAAAGAAGTTCCTGACCCTCTCTAGGTTTGGTGAGGGGCCCCGCCCCCAAAAAAGAAGTGCAGGACACACGGAGAGAGGGATTCCAAGTGTGTGCCTATTTGATAAGCAATACACAAGGAAAATTCAGATAGGGGGACAGTGCCGAAGAACTGAGGTATATGCCCAGGGAGAAGGGCACCATCGCCGATTGA